TTGTTAATACATAGTTTTCAGAAAGTAAAAACTAAAAAGAAACAGTAATGACTTATAAAAAGTTTGGCGTGTGAAACTCTACAAAACAATGAGGAAGTATTTAAAAAATAAAAATTAGTTTTTGAAATCATACTAGACGTCACTCGCGATGTTTGGATTTTAAAAATTAATAAAACATAATTTTGTGTTTCTTATAATATCTAACTTTCAAATTAATTTTAATCGTAAGTTTAAGTTGTTTATTATGTTACGTATAAAGGGACGATGTTTGGTTGATACATCAACATTAGTGATGAGCCAACTTATTGGTTGCTCGTAACTTTCATCCGAATTCAGGTTTGGAATGAAGAACAAAAAGCAGAGCGCAGAATTCAGCTTGTATTTGTATGTATCATTATGCATCCACAAAACGAATGATATCAATATAAATATCAAAAATCCATTCAATCTAGGCTGTTACATACTACTTGTGAAAGTCGAAAACTTTGCCAATGGTTCGCAAAACTAAGGCGGGAGATCATGTACTGACAAGAATCGGCAAGAAACTCAGCGAAGGTTGCTTTTTTAATTTCAACTATGTATACGACTCAAATAAACTATATTTGAGGGAACATAACGACCTAACGAACACGACACCACCGCAGAGATTTTAAGAGAGCATGACTACTCTAGGTACTTAGTAAATAATATATTTCAATAAAACTGATTTCTAGAGTAGGTTGTGTAGGAAGTCAATCTATTATTAACAATATTATTATAAGAAACAAAAAGCACATACCCACCATACAAATTAACTTAACCGTCGACATGCAAGATCAGTAGCAATAGTATAATAACTGTACGCGTCTTTGTGATTTTGAAATATTATAACCTTGCTGTTCGTTTAGAACATACGTTTCTTGTTGATTGCTGAATGTTTATTAAGATGATTTAATTATGAATATAAGATTTAATAACTGATCGTAGTTTTTTAAAGTCTTAATTTCGAAAGCACAAATTTTAGACAGAAGTCATGTTATTTTGTACGAATACCTAGTATATTTGATACATATCGGGTAAGTATATAGATAAACGATTTTTTTATTATAATTATCGTTTTTATGAATTTTGTTGCTTTACATAAATAAAAAAAAAAACCTCTGTGCTCACTTCCATTATGTTAGTTTCCATTTTCGCCTATACCAGCCATACTCAACCTTTTTTTTAATGGGGCCACAATCACGTTTCGATCTTGAATCGCGGACCGCAAAAGTATGTAGATAAAAAAACATAATTCCAAATTGGCGATGTGTTTATTGAAAAAAATAAAGGTGGTCACAATAAAGCCAACTACACAATATATTATTTTGTAACCTTTCTAATATTAGGTTATGATGAAGCCTCGTGCAATGTAGACCAAATTTTGAAACAGCAAACTTTCAACAGTTTTTCTGATGGGCGCGACATTTTAAAACTATGTCGAAGTTTTAAAATTCCAAGTGGGCCAATCACAAAGGCCCGGCGGGCCGCAGGTTGAATATGGCTGCTCTATACAAATAAAAAAGAAATTTATTCAAAAATTACTTTGTATTAATCGAGTTGCGTTTGCATAACTCGAACTAATTTTAAACTCGATATTAATCCGAGTTCTTCAATTCTATTCTCTTTGCTTTAACGTCATGAATTGACGTTTAGATCCAATAATTTGTGCTGCCATCTAGTGACATATTTTTTTGTAGTTTCTTTATTTTTTTTAAATACTTCCTCATTATAATCGGCCTTCAAGAAATTATAACTATGAATCGGTGCCGACCTTGGCTTAGTTAAGTTATTGATATTGATAGCACACCACTAAATGTCAAAAAATCTCTTAGGATATTGTTTGAAAAAGTCTTTGTCTTCCCATGTTTCTGTATTTATTAACAAGTATATTGGCTGATACAAAGGTTTTTGTAAAGGAGAGAAATTACCGGGTCCATGTATTATTAGCGGCTGTCGATACTGCGCTTTGTCCTCGACCATCTCTGGTTCTTACACAGCCTCTGGGTCGACCACCACGTATGCGGTGTCACCTGCATGACTACTGGGGGTATCAAAGACAAAAAACAGAATGAATTTTCAGACACCGGGCGGATTCCATCTCCTGAGCCCGAAGATCCGGTGTCAAAGTCACTGCTATCTCCATATCTTGATGAATGGACCTCTTCTGTTTGGTAATCTTCATCCCACAAGTCTCCTACAAGATGTCCGTTATTTCATTTTCACGCAAACCATGAAAGTGTAAATGTTTTACGTGAACACACACGTCGTTGGGAACTTATGTTTTACTAGTACAACATAAAGATTATATGGTTAATTTTGTGGTTACTAGGCATTACAATGATTGAAATATTATGTAACACGGATAAATGCATCAAAACAAATAAATAGCTACTAAAATATTTACAAAAAACATAGTATTTCATAACAAATCTTTGTTATGAAATACTTTTTACCACGCGGTTTCGGTACCGACGCCATCGTCCCCGTGGAATGAATGATTAAAGAAAATCTTAGCCACTTCCTTAGCCAATCACAACTCAGTATAGCGGACAGATATTTAGACTACTCGATAAAATTAAAAGTACGAGCAGATTTTGTTAGATGGCGCTATAAGATGTTTTTCTTTCTAAGATGTAATTATACTACCATTTCTTACATACTACTCAGGAGGATAATAAGTGAAATTATAAGTATTATCAAATCTTTGTAGCGATCATTTTAACTATTTATTTTAACGTATGTAAATTATTTCTTTTTTATTGTAAATACAATGATTTGTTATTATTTTGTAATTTTTAACCTCTTTTATCGATATCGATCTTTTTACCACCTTAGCAACCAATAAACACCGCCGAAACTGACCTCTTCACTACTAATCGGTGAGATGTATTTGTACCAAGAATGAGACGATGCTTTTTCCAGTCTACTCCATGGCTCCAAGGGACATTAGATCTGAATATTTAATATAAATTTCAGCTTAATACCTGCACGTGTTTCGAAGTAAAAGGGACAGACGGATGAACGGATTGACAACATACTGGTCCTATAAGGGTTCCGTTTTTCCTTTCCAGGAAAGGAACCCTAAAACAGATATTCATATTTTTTTTAAAACCATCATACATCCGAGATGATGTAACATTTCTAATGATAATGGAGTATCATTAGAAATGTTGCATCATCTCGGCACTATTCTCTATGCCTGTATAGCAATCGTATAAAAATAATAAATATTTGAAACAAAAATATTAGATAACACAAATTTAATATACACATGAGATGGTATCATAATATCGCGCCTTGACAAGTGCGGCTGTGGCATACTGAAATCGTACAGCTGCAGAAGCAGAATTTTTCGCAACCAAGTGGTATAATCAGCCGACCAATTGAGTAGCTAGCCTTTTATTTGACTGGCACCATTCAATTAAATTAATGATTGAACGGATGTTTTAACCATTTGGCTGCGACAAATACAATACAGTATTCTATTTTATGCATTATGTCATTACGAGGGTCAAACTGAAAGTTCTTAGAAAATCAAAAACTGATTACATTAGCCAGTTATTAGTTTTATTATATCTTTTCAAAATATTGTCCATTCACGTCAATACACCGCTGCATGCGATGGAACCACTGGGAAAAGCACTTTGCCCACTCGTCCTTAGGGGTCTCTTCAATGGCATCGCGATACGCAGCCACCGCTTCTTCAGCATTCATAAACCGCTTTCCTTTAAGTTTTTCTTTAATTTTTGGAAATAAATAAAAATCACAAGGCGCGAGGTCGGGGCTATACGGCGGGTGACCCAGTAATTCAACGTTTGATGTCGCCAAATAGTCGATCGTTCGCTTGGCGGTGTGCGACGAGGCGTTGTCGTGGTGAAGGAGGATCCTACTGCGAGGTCGTTTCTCTCGAACTTTTTCCAAGACAAGTGGCAAACAATTGGTAGTGTACCATTCTGCAGAAACTGTTTTTTGATCCTCTAACACAATTGTTGCAAAATGACCTATCCTTCCAAAGAACGAGGCCACCATTTTTTTTCCCGCACTTCGATCTCTCTTCACTTTAGTTGGCAACTCCTCGAAAGGAAACACCCACTGAGCAGATTGTCTTTTGGTTTTAGGATCATAACAGTAAATCCAGCTTTCGTCACCTGTTAGTATGTCGAACACAGCATTTGAGTCTCCTACGTTAAATCTTTCAATCATTTTACGACACCAATCCACACGATGGAGTTTTTGAGCCTCAGTCAAATTATGAGGTATCCACCGGGCGCAAAGCTTCCTGACCGCTAAATGTTCGTGGAGGATTTTGTGCACTTGACTCATACCGATGCCTAAGCTTGTCCGAATCTGTTGATAGGTCACTCTTTTGTCAGTCTCTATCATACGCCGCACAACACAGATGTTATCTTCAGTCGTCGCCGTAGAAGGCCGTCCCTCACGTAAATCATCAGTGAGATTAGTGCGACCACGTTTAAACTCATTAAACCAGTTGTAAACAGTCGCACGAGATGGGGCTTCATCGTGAAAGGCCAATCGTAGTCTATCATAACTTTCTTGTAGACTTAAATGACATCGAAAGTCATAAAAAATCATTGCACGAAAATTTTCTCGTGTTAAATTCATGATGACGTGACACAGACAATTTTCAATTTGCCGTCAAATCGTAAAACAAATGACAAATGAATGAAATATATACTCAGTAATATTGGCAAAGAGTTATATTTTCAAATTTTAGAATTATTTTTTTATTATATTGTTTATAAGTGGCCAGTTCTAAGAACTTTCAGTTTGACCCTCGTATTATTTATTAAACATTGTATCATACCTACTTCATTAAATAGATTCGCGGAAACATTTTATATAAATCGATACAATTTCTACATCAATAACGGCATATAAAGAATCTCGAACAACACTATTGTGTTGACGCCCATAGATAGATCGACATAGACAAGTTTTTATTTGACGCCGACGCCGCCATTATTGTGAAATAGATTTTCCTAATTTATTTCACGTGGGAGCCCTCGTAGTTAATTCTTTAAAACACCCTAATTAAGTAAACTTAGATACACATCATGGCTGATAACGACGATCTTCTGGACTACGAAGACGAAGAGCAGGCAGATCAACAAACCGCCGACGGAGCGGCAGATGCGGCGCCAAAAAAAGAGGTTAAAGGATCATATGTATCAATTCATAGCTCCGGTTTCAGGGATTTCTTGCTGAAACCAGAGATTTTAAGAGCCATCGTTGATTGTGGTTTCGAGCATCCATCTGAAGTTCAGCATGAATGCATTCCGCAGGCAGTTTTGGGAATGGATATTCTCTGTCAAGCCAAGTCCGGTATGGGTAAAACCGCCGTATTTGTTTTGGCAACATTGCAACAATTAGAACCATCTGAAAACCATGTTTACGTGTTAGTAATGTGCCATACGAGAGAATTAGCCTTCCAGATTAGCAAGGAATATGAAAGATTCTCTAAATACATGGCCGGTGTCAGAGTATCTGTATTCTTTGGCGGAATGCCTATTCAAAAAGATGAAGAAGTATTGAAAACGGCTTGTCCACACATCGTTGTTGGTACTCCTGGAAGAATTTTAGCTTTAGTGAATAGTAAAAAGCTGAATTTGAAGCATCTGAAGCACTTTATTCTGGACGAATGTGATAAAATGCTCGAATCTCTAGACATGAGACGTGACGTACAAGAGATCTTTAGAAATACTCCCCACGGTAAACAAGTGATGATGTTCTCTGCTACATTGAGTAAAGAGATCAGACCAGTGTGTAAAAAATTTATGCAAGATCCTATGGAAGTGTATGTTGATGACGAAGCTAAGCTAACTTTGCATGGCTTACAGCAACACTATGTGAAACTGAAGGAAAATGAGAAAAACAAAAAGCTATTTGAGCTTTTGGATGTACTGGAGTTTAACCAAGTTGTTATATTTGTGAAATCTGTACAGCGTTGTATAGCTCTTGCTCAACTACTGACTGACCAGAACTTCCCTGCTATTGGTATACATAGAAACATGACACAAGATGAGCGCCTTTCACGCTATCAGCAATTCAAGGACTTCCAGAAGAGGATTCTTGTTGCAACTAACCTATTTGGCCGTGGTATGGATATTGAGAGGGTCAACATTGTATTCAATTATGATATGCCTGAGGATTCTGATACTTATTTGCACCGTGTAGCCCGAGCAGGAAGATTCGGTACTAAAGGGCTGGCTATTACTATGGTGTCAGATGAAAATGATGCCAAGATCTTAAATGAAGTCCAGGATCGTTTTGATGTCAACATTACAGAACTTCCTGAGGAGATAGAGCTGTCAACCTATATAGAAGGACGATAAATTTTATAATAAGTTTTCATTCCCTTTTTGCAACAATTACTAAGATAATTAAGTAGGTAACAATGTTTTTTGTTACACATTTCTTATACTAAGTTTGTTTACATAAAATAAGATTTGACATGTGATCAATTTTTATAAGTTAGGGATGTGTGCCAGCAGATCCCACTTTGTCCAAATACTAAAATTTGTAGGTTTAATGAGTAAAGTGAAATTGATATTGTGATTTCTGTCTTATTAATAACATACCCCATTTTCTAATTTCTTGATATTAAATGCAGTAATAATGATTGGACATTCTATAGCAACCCTTATTTCAGATACATATGAAAGGAGTAGGTAAAAGCTTTATTAAAACAATATAACATAGTAAATATTATTTGTATTCAATAAAAAAATCAAACAGATACTATCCATATGTAAATGGCAAGATTTAGTTTTATTCATACTTTAAGAAACTTGTTTTATTAGAAACAGGACTGAACTGGATTATTCTTGAAATGGTAACAATTGTACAATCAATAAATTCCATGTGACTTAATTTTCTTGTTGTGACTATATTTGTGGTGCTTTTTTGCATGGAAAGAATATGTTTTCTCATGAGTAAATCTTGTTATCAGATCTAGAGCCCATTTAGGCTGGTCTCCAGGTACCATGTGACCTGCATTCCTCACCATTATTTCTACAAGCTTCCCTGCCTGCTTTACATATCCTGCAAGCTCTCCGTCCACATTCCATTGATATCTTTTAGCAGTCTTATAATCCTCAGATCCAGTGAAATTGAGATTCTTCAAGTAATTAACAGTTAAAGGATAGGCAACTATAATATCTAATTGTCCATTATAAATTACAACATAATAGTTATCCAAGAGTTCTGTTATCCATGGAGCGACAGATTTCATTACATCTTCTTTCAAATGTTGCTCAACAATTGTCCCATTATTAAAAGGCAATTCACCAACATGGATTGCTTTGCGCACATAAGTCTTTTGAAGCATTGGCCCAAAATCTTCATAACTGTTATAATCTTTGGTATGTAAATAATTAAAATAGAAATTGAAACCAGTCATATTATAAAAAATACTTTTGCCATCAATTAAATCACCATTCAGTAATGTATCAAATGTTTCAAAAGCTTCAATCCATTGTTTATTCTGAATATACTCTGCAGTCTTTTTTTCATATTGTTCAAAAACTTGAGCCTGGTTCCAATCTATAAGGCCGATTTGGTACAAATATTTACCATACAACAGTTGGTGTTCAGGGTCACTTAAACCGTTACCAATAGCTATACCTTTCAAGTTGACTTTTATTTGAGCAGTTGGATTTTTCTTGTGAATCGTGTAAGCTAAAGCAGGCACATACTTCCCAGCGTACGATTCTCCAGTAACAAAGAATTTGTTTGTCTGCAGCTCAGGGAACAGCTGAAGAAACTGTATTACAGTAGAGTAGAGTTCTTCACCAACCTGTGTTTGATTAGTACAGTATCCATTCGGATCCTTTGTGAAGCTAAATCCAGTGCCGACAGGGTTATCAATATAGATGACGTGATGACTCAACGCCCATGTATACTTCCTGCGTTCAAACTTCTCATTTCTAACTCTAATAGGTCCATTTTCTGTAAAAAGACCGTAAAGTGAAGTGGCACCAGGACCTCCTTGCAACCATACCACTACAGGTGCGAATTTGTTATCTGGAATCATGGCCGGGAAGTACCAGAAGAATTGGTTAGAGTCGTATTTCTTGTTGACGGTGAAATAGCCGGCGTAACTTTTAATTCGCAAGCTCTCTGTGAACGGGACTCGTGCTAACTCCCGGCCTTCTGTAATATTACCGCTCTCGACATAAGGAGTGAGGAACAATGGGTCACCAGCGTCACCTCCATCTCTTTGCCTCAGCTTTATTTTCGGATATTTATGGAGAAAACTATGACCCAGAAGGAAAAATTGAAAAACACACAACAACGATACTACACGAAACATGATTATAATTACGCTATTATTCACATTTGCAAATGAACGCCTCGCCTCTGGAAAAACCTTATCAACTAATATCTATAATACATTACTCTTTGACTAATATTATTATAATTTGTTCAACAACGTCAGGTTTTACATATTATCAAATTTTCCCATTCTATTTTAAACCTTAAAACGTTGGTTATAGAGCTAAAATTCATTGCACAAATTTGACATTATGTGGAAATCTGACCACGATGTGCAACCGTATATGTCTGAGTGAGTGTACAAACTCAACATATCTAGCATAAGCTACTCACCCAAAACACCGATAACACCATCCTACTACCTATAAGTATTTTATATAAATAAATCGGTCCCGATATATCGGCCTCGATTTAGGGCGGTTGGCGTCGTTGTGATTACACTGCACTAGATCGCCTCCCTAACTCAGTTGGCATGCAAACGTAGCGTTGAAATGATGGCTCCTGCGCTCACAAAGTACCAAAAAATTGGCATAGCCCATACTTTAACTGCGGGCGTAAATAATAAAACAAAATGTTGGGTGAAAAATATTTGCTTCTAAGAGACCAACTATGCAGTTTAAACTACTTCAGCATGAGTTCTGCACAATTTGATCATATATTAAACTTTTATCATACCTTATATATAAAAAAAACAATATACGCTATTTAGAACTAGTGTAAGCGCTAAATAACGGTTAGCTGTGCTGTAACCTTAAAATGTTTAGCAACGGGAAATGCATATCATGACTTAAAGTATAAATACTCAATACTCGATAAGTTAATTGTTTCCATAGGTAATTTAAAATAATGTTACATAATTAAGTTAGTCTCACTGTGGACCCTGTCGGGCACAACAATAATAGAAAGGAGGAGCATTAGTTTTTAATATTGTAATTTATAAAAAATTAAGAATAAATAATTATAAATTTTCAATTTCGCTAAAATCATTGATATCAGAACCCCTGCTATCAAAAATTGTACCAGACACATGGATCGGGCCCGATAGATTGGGTAGTGTAATAGGCGCCTTAAATCTAATGTGCAGAGTTCACTATGAGTAGCTTCGAATTGAGGTATTTGTTGTTTTCTGTATAGAAAAAGGGATCTGACCAGTGGCGTAGCTACTAAGGGGCTAGGCGGGGCAGTGCCCCGGGGCCCTCAAGCTCAGGGGGCCCTCGAATCTTTGCCAGAAAATCTCAATCGAACTCAACTTTTGAAAATTTCTCCCATTTTCAAAATAAATATGACATGGCATCATGGCAACTCAGTTGTGAGAAATTCCAAAGTTATAAAAAAGGGAATTCCCCTAAATTATTTGTGTGGGTTGACAGTGTTATTAATGTTTTCATCAATTTGTCGGATATCAATATCTGCATATTATTATTTATCAATATGCGTTTTTGTGATTAGCGATTATGAACTTCGAGTCAAGATATTTTTCCAGAATGGTTAAAAAGTTAATGTATCAGGAGTAAGTAAGCGTATGTCAATAAATTTTTTGTACTGGTCCATACAAAAATTCAATTTTATTTGATTATAGTACGTATACATAGTTACGTTAAGAAATCGATAGCTTTCGACTACCTAATATATAAGGGCGCTTGTGCACTACACTGAATTTTCAGGTGCGGCGGTCCGATTTTTCCGGTCCGGAATGACATGAAAAACCCGGATGAGAAGCTTGTGCACTTGTCCGTTTTTTCTCTGATCAAAGCGGCGCAGTGTAGGACAGCTCTCTTTGAAGCTACACGTCACTTACGCTAGGTACGATGAGATTTTTGGAACGTCGGTAATTGCGCTCGAAGACGTAGAACGGTACCTAAATAATGACCTGATCATTTTACATAAACCACAATAAATTATGGCAAGACGAAAGCATTTTTATAACTACTATCAGATGTAAAACTTATACCCTTACTAATTTAGGAACAGCATTATTCACATACAATAACTAAAAATATCTGTGACATTAGAATAAAATTACTGATAATAATCTAGTACTTGATGTTTAAATTTTTAAACGTGCTATTTTTTCGTAGTTTTGTAAAAACAACTTTCAGCGATTACAGAGATAGACCAATCGGTGGCGCCATTTCGTAAACAAATCGAAATTAGTGCCGTGTAAGCGGAGAATTATTATGCTAAATGAACTTTACGAGATCAGTTGACTGTATTATATATAGGCATAATTTTATACGCGTGGTGTAGTTTCTTTTAGCAGAAATATTTTTCATTTAGAATACTTCTTTTTTTTAAATTTATTAATGACACAAACATTCATTTCAAATTTAATTAAATTCGAAAAAGACATTGAGTGTCTTTACTTTTTATACGATTCTAAAATCTAGCTAAGTATCGATACTAGAAGCATACGCTGATCAAATTAGAACTATACTGAGTTTGCCAAAGCATATGCAGTGATATATACCAACTATATTAAATCATCATATAAAATATAGCTTTTTATAATCTACAATAAATATCGATTATAAGTTTATTGGAAATTAACAATATCGCCGAAATAAATATCGATTCAAATCGATTATATTTTCCCAAGCCTATTCCTTATGAATTTTCCGGATCTCGGACACAGCAGTGCACAAGCGTAAACACATTTTTCATTGCCGCCATCACGGACCTGAAAAAACCGGTCCGGAATAGAAAAAACCGGACGCTAAAATTCCTGACAGTGCACAAGCGCGCATTACCTACCTCCAATATGGCCTGACATATTGGACCTGAAAAAATCGGATCACCGGACATGAAAATTCAGTGTAGTGCACAAGCGCCCTAACTCAAAATACCGTGCAAAATACAAGTCACATGCGGTAGAGGGCCGTCCTTCAATTACGTGATGTTTTTTTGTCATTTTTTAAACCGTCAAATGTGGTAACACTGGCAGCGATAAAATGTTTGCTGGGGATTCCCCAACGACGTCTTGTATCGTATCGTTACGTTTCGCTTTCCTTTTACTTGTAACGTTGTCAGTGAACAGTGAGTACCTACAATTTTTCTAATTTATTTATGTACAAATATAAATAAATTAGAAAACAGGACAAAAAAACCTAGTGGTGCATTTAAACGCAAACAACGCCAAGAAAGAGAAGAAAGTAAACAAAAGTTGCCCAAAATTTACAAGTTTTTTAGTCAGCCTTCTGCAAGTACTTCTAGGCAAAATATATCAATTGATAATTTTTGTAAATAGCTTGCATGGCGATAGGTTAAATAACAGTAAGCTGGTGCAACGTATCTATGAATAAATAAATATATAATAAACCCTTGAATCTTTTCTATTTCGTTTAATTGCCCAATACCTACAACAAGTATCAAAATAATTGTAATTTATGTTGTTAGTGTTTAATAGTTTTATTACCTGCCCATGCACGAAAAAGAGCTAATGATAAAGTTCCTTAGCATTAAAGTCGATAATACAGTCATTTAAAGTATTTGTATATTTAATGATTTTACTTCAAAAAACCTTTCCAGTTTTGATAGCAGTGGGCCCCATTTTTTTATTTGCCCCAGGGCCCTAGGTAACCTAGCTACGCCACTGCCATCAACCGATTGCGACTAGATCACTGCCGATTTCTAGCAACTTTGTTTTAAATAAAACTGACTGAAAGCAGCAACAAGCTATATTATCAATTAAACGAAACTGCAAATCTTGAACACTTTGTTCTGAAATGACCAATTTTCGATATGCAAAGCCTAATATTGGCAACAAATATAGAAAAAACTGTGAATGATGTACCCCGCCAATTACAAGATGTGCAATAAATCTTGTAATGGGCTTGTAAATCCCAGAAATATATAGATATTTAAGGGAAACGCTTGTAAACATATAAATTATCTCAATATAAAGACACGGCTGCAGGCCATGGAAGCCAGGGCCGGTAAAACCTTTTGAAAAAAAATTCGCCTGTCCTATAAACAAAACTACTGCTACTAGGTACTAATGATGTGCCGATTCGATTATTATAACATGTAATCGATTTGTGTCAATGATTATTTAAAAAAAAATCCCAAAAAGTGTATTAATGATTTCAGATTAATTCCATCGTATTTAAAGGCATCCAAGTTAATGAACAATACTTAAAAATCCATTTTAAGACAATGTTAACCGTACCAGCATTGGGAATGCAAAATTAATAGAATAAAATTAGCTGTACCCGCGATTTTGTCCGCGTGGAAATTAACCTTAGTAATTCCTTATCACATAAGCTATCTGCCATTGAAAGTCCCGACAAAATCGGTCCAGCCGTTTCAGAGATTATCATAATTGAGAGTAACTGATTATTTTAAAAATCAATTAATTGTAATCATGAAGATAAAGTAAAAGAACTGGAGGCCAAACTCAGAACTATTGGTTGAAGCAAAGTTATTTGACCTCTATTGACCTTTCGTTGGACTCTTGGGTAGCTATGTCATTAATCTAAATTTTCCTGAAATCTGTACCGGTCATTGGTGTTATTCGCTAATTTTATGTTTCATAAACTTTTTGACAATTGATACTCATAGTATAGTTTTACAACATTTGAAACTTTATTTATATATCTGAAATAAGATTGTACTCTGAAATCCAATCCAATGTAACAAAAAACTTTAACAAAAGGGTTATTAAGCAATAACTACAATCAAATAAAATCTATAATAAAAAATGCTACGCAAATATTATAATCAGAAGGCAGATACTGCAAATTAATAAAAATTATTAACTTTTTACCGTCGTCATGTCAATCGCATTAATCAATAATCCAGACTTGCAATTTAATTTGTTGAATAATTCAAACCTATGAAACCTATTAAAACCTATAAATTGTAAAATTATATTCCACCATAGACCGTTTCACATAGAATGGAAACGATGACATTTGTTAACAGTTGATGAATAAATATTATTCTCAAATCCTGTTTTATATGTGGATCTCAAAACCGTTTATCTCTATTAGAAATAAATTCAATAGCATCGAGTTTTTGTATCTAAAAACTTCAAACCCCAAACATCACCGTACCCATGCTATATGAATAAGACACCGTAATTTTTTTTCTACATTTCCCCATTGTTGTGGTAAATGGCATCCTCAAAAAATGGCAACCTCGTGTGTGTCAATATGGCGAATGACAATTACTAATTTCGTCAACTCGAAAATTATGATTCATATATAAACGTTTCTCGCTATCAAATAGTAAAAAATGGTTCAGAAATGTGTAGTCCTAGGTTGCGGAAGCAAATGGCATCCTGGATGTTCTTTGGTATTTCCCAGGTGAGTCGTAAGTTACTTTAATTGATGACTGCTTGCATTTTATAAAAATAATGTTTTTAACGTAGAATCCTTCAATTTTTGATAATTTACAATAATATAGTATCTAAAGTAATATATGATTTAATTGTTTACAGTAGCATATTTCAGAAATTTTCTAATAAAAGCACAGTTCACATTCTAAAATAAAAATAAACAAACACTAATATGGTGACCATGAAAAGAAGATAAAGGATAAACAATAAAACTGAACTTAATATTTTTTATTTCACTTTTAGTTTGCCCAAAGATCTAATAAGGAGAAGTTAATGGCTATCGAGTGTCAAATAAAAAAATAAGTTTTATAAAACTGCAACAATATTCAGTAATCATTTTGTGGCTACTGATTATATAATAGAGAATCGGTTAAAGCATACAACAATTCCTTTTTATAAAAATATTTTATTCCTTCCAAACGCGAACTTGTGGCTCGAGGTCCTTTTTAAGTACGCGTATTTAAGATGACACACAAGAGAAAAAGGTCGTCGAGCCACAAGTTCACATTTGGAAGGAATAAAATATTTTTATTTTACTTAATGTAATATGTCATGAAAAAATGGTCTCGTAATATCTTAATTCCCTAATGGCAGGGTTTAGACAAAATAAATCATAATTCGTTTTTTTTTCCAGTCGGGACAATCTGATCTAAAAAGTGATTCATTTACCATGCCTTCTACACCTTCAACATCTCGTCGTAGGTTGTCCGGAAAACTTGCTATGGTAACAATCAAATAGTATTTATTGTCATCAAAAGTATACTTTTTTAGTCACATATAAATTAAATTTAAAAATAACATAATGTTGTTTTATTTTTATCTGAGAATGTAAGAGAAGAATGTGATATGTAAATCAGTAAATTGACTAAAGGGTGAAATATTTACTGGGTGCTTATTCCATTTCAATAGGGATGATGACTAATTTTTGTTTGTTTGTCCGTCAGGTAAACTATTAAACACGTATTTTTTAATTTTTTTCGTAATCATAAAATTACAGCGTTGCATGGAGTTGAAATTTCGCATGATGTCACGTTAGGGTACGTTTTCTACTCAACTGTGACGTAGCGAGCCCCCACTCCTCAACTTTAATGCATGTTATCTAAGCTATTTCTTGTTAAATTGAAGTAAAAAAAAAATACTTATCTTTCTATTAACTGACTGACGGACTAAATAGAATTGCATTTTTTTACCCAGTCATCATCCCTATTCGGTCGGAAGGAAGGTAAGCTGACAATCGTAGTCTGCAGTCTTGTAGGTCACTTTGCATATTAGATCTACTCCGTGCTTTGGAAGGCACGTTAAGCAGTTTGTCCCGATTGTGTCTGCAGTTGTAAATACCCTCCAATCCGGAATGGATTGTGGGTACATTAATGGGCTGGTGATCATTAAGAAGAGTTTTTTGCCAACTCTAATTCCCACACTGCTAAGTTTTAATCAAACTCAAAAATTGTTATTTTTTTATTTGAGAACCCCCTAACGAGACTCTTTAAATACTATTATACGTACTGTACGTACTGTGTCGTCACAGTAAGGCTAGCAAAACTTTTTTAAATTTCCTCATTTGTCCCCCGAAAATAACCCTTATTTATTATAACAAATTAGTTATTTTGAATATCTGTGTTTAGGTCAAAGGATGACAAATTTTACAAGATTTGGTTCAGTAGATTCGGAAAAAAGGCTTTTTGTACGGAACTTTAATAAAGTCAATTTCATATTTGACGAAGAATCTAGTTTAGATCTATTAATATCATGTGTAAACTTTACATCTACCTAGGAAAATTTGATACCTTTTTTTTCCTTAATGTTCTACTCTTTAAACTTGTCTCCTTTATTTTGTAGTTGTGTGGACACCCTATTAGAAAGAGAGGAAGGGGACCTAAGGAATGAAATAGAAAACATTCAAGGTCAAATTTTTATGCTTCAAGTAGGTATGGAGGAGTTTGGTCTCCAGTTATTTCTTTAGCTTCATGATTGTAATAGATTCCGCACACCATTGGCTTGGAGTAAAAGCAAGAGTATATGTTCCTTGAGTAAAAGTGTTCTGTGATTGGCTACGACTACTTACTCTATTCTGTGACAACAATCACAAAGTATACAAAAATCTGTCAAAATATTTTTCATATTTGCACAAAAAATATCGCAATAAAGTGCAAGTTCCGCTTGGAATGTTGAATATTCTCATGAAATTATCAATATAATGTATACAAAAAATTTTATACCTACGCTCATCAACATTTTTTATGTATGCATAAGTTTATTCCCACAAACGCTAGCTTTCTTTTCTCCGTATCCTCGGGTGAAACTAGAGGCAAAGACCGATGGAGATGCTGGAGACCCATTGATTCTTACACCATATCTGAAGAAAAGGTCTATAAATCTAGCTCAAAACCTGTCCAGAGTAGCTTTGCCGGAGTTAACAGGTTACCCAAGTTATGCCGGCTTTTTCACCGTAGATGAAACGTACAATTCAAACTTATATTTTTGGTATTTTACACCATTCTCTAAGAAAGTAGACGCACCCGTGATTCTTTGGCTTCAAGGCGGCCCTGGAGGGAGTTCTCTATTTGGACTATTCACGGAATTGGGGCCATTGATAGCTAATAAAAGTGGTTTTAAGTTAAGAAAGTACCATTGGGCATTAGATAATCATGTAATTTTTATAGACAATCCTGTGGGGACAGGCTTCAGCTTTACACAAAGTGAGGAAGGATATTGTACTAATGAAACTTGTATAGCTAAGGGACTTTACAGTGCTCTACAACAGTTTTTTACTCTATTTCCCGATCTGAGAAAAAACTCTTTTTGCATTGCTGGAGAATCATATGCAGGAAAGTATGTGCCAGCATTAGCTATAGAGATACATAATCAGAATGCTAATAGTAGCAATATACCCATCAATTTGAAATGTTTAGCAATGGGAAATGCATATTGTGACCCAATTAATCAAATGGACTACGGCAATTACCTTTATCAGCATGGTCTAATAGACGACAATCAGTTGGTTGTCTTTGAAAAAATGCAGTCTAACATTGAAGTGGAAATAAAGAAAAATCATTGGGAAAATGCTGATTTCCTTATGAACACACTTATTGATGGAGATTTGACCAATTTTTCATATTTTAAATCATATACCGGTTTCAAAGATTACTATAACATTTTAAACACACAAAGCTTGGATAATTTATCTGTGTTCACTGATTTACTACATAATGATAAAATAAGACGTATCGTACATGTTGGTGGTCTTCCTTTCAACTCCGGTGAGGAAGTACAATTCAATTTAATATTTGATATACTTAAATCTGTAGCACCTTATATTGCAGAGCTCCTTTCACATTACCGGATAATGTTTTACAATGGACAGCTTGACATCATAGTTGCATATCCTTTAACAGAGAATTTCTTACATAAGCTTGAATTTTCTTCAGCAACAGAGTATAAAGTGGCTAAAAGAAATATATGGAGAGTTGATGGTGAAATAGCAGGATATTTTAAAAAAGCTGGCAATTTGACTGAAGTTTTGGTCCGTAATGCTGGACACATGGTACCACATGACCAACCAAAATGGGCCTTGAATCTCATAAATAATTTCATTCATAATAAATTATAGCTGTGATGGTCATAATTGATATCATTATCTTATCAAATCTAGGTTATTTAGTTCAATGTATAATTTATATTTGATAGATTCATATTATTTGAAGGGTGTAAATGCAATATTATCAATTTATTAACTATTTTAATTTATATAAGATTTATGTACTAAGTTGTTTTATAGAAAAAATATTTTATAAATAAAAGTTATGTATTGATTATTATTTTATTATTTTCACAAAAAATAAATTATTAAATGGAAGTCAAATTCAGTTTTACAGCAAAAATATGACAGTTCTTGATATACATTAATGAAGTTCATAATTCTGGAAAGTCAATCACAAAACTAAAACATACTAGACTTATTAATGTCGAATGAATCAATTATGTAAAATTAATAATAATAATTAAATTGTTAAATTAATTACATACTTATGTTATTACAATTTTATACATGCATAATATGGTACAGCAATGTTATGATCCAGTTGCATATCGATAACTTCAATAGTATCAATATTATTGCAACAAAATTTACCTATAACCAATAGTCTATCAGTCAGTTGCATAAATATCACTTTGAACGAATGACAATTTTATTGGACGTTCATGCAACTGGCTGTATGACAACCAGTGGCCTAATTGTCTAATATTAAAATCTATCACAATCACTTTGAATTTAACATGTGATGGCAATTGCAATCACGATGTTTATTTGAGAGTTATTGAATGAACGATATCGTTTATTTTACGTTAATCTGATTAATATCTGACAGCTACTGGGAAATGTCGAACGAAATTAATTGTATATGACATTGATATTAATCAAATCACCATTCGTTCCAAAAGCAATTATGACTTAAAAAGTTATACATCATTCCATAAATCACTATCATAACCGCTATAGGTTTGAAAGGGATTGTAATAGATTTTAAAATTAGACAATTACGCCTATATATCTCGGTTCAATAACAATGTATTCATTATTGAAGCAGTTTTTCAATTACGATCTCTATTGTCATATTTAAAAGAGTGTTTATAGCATGATATGGCCTATTAATTTTTGCAACTAAGGTTGTCATTTATTATATTTTTTAATACTTCAATTTCTTAAAATTTTCAAAAAAATCTTGTATCAGTAATTAAATACATTAATTATATTACCTACGTATTTGGAAAACTTATATAAATCTGATTAAGTAAACAGTAAATTGAGCAGAATGCTAGCGCCATCTTTTAACAGTTAAAAATAATGAATCTGTGGCGTCAAAAAGGGAGGATCCAGATTTTAACACGGGAGAGGTCTAGTCAGGACAATGCATTTTATAAAATTCATTATAAAAAATATCAACAATTAAGCGCCTTTGAACGGCACACCTGAACACTAACTGCTGATAATAAATACATATTCATGATAATTTGAAATTATTAACATTTGTAAATTGTTTTCAGAATAACATGATATATGAGGTAGCTATCGGAAAATATATGTATGCAATTTTGACATATTCATGTAAATATTGAGAAACATAGATTAGATAGGACAATGCTTACTACAGAGTATTTAAGTTTTTCTTCAATATCCAATCATTTTGACAAAGCTTAGTGTATTATAGACTAATTTTGTTCTTTATTCCATGTAGACAATAACGCGGCAAGAAGCAAGTTATAGTAATAAATAGTGTCAAAATTGTATACATGTTTACACAGCAACACGAGAATCGAAGGACGGCACGGGCGAGATAAAAACATCGCGCGACAAAATCACAATTGTTTAATCGCTCGTACGATTGGTAGCCAAATAAAACACCCCTTACATTATGCAACTATGCCAGTAGCGCAGTTAGCGCGTCTAGGAATTGAGTTCGTTGTGCGATCGGTAATGTTATGACTGAAGAATCTAGAAAGTCTAATGATACCGTAACTCCGCTCTTAGTCGCCGCTTGTTCGAACGCAGCACCAAACAGACTGAGGAAAGAAATTCAGATATACTATTTCTTTTGTTAAATATGTTACATAAAATAAGGGAAAATTCTTTTTCAAAATACTCGTTCATATCTCAAGTAACTAAACCCACAATGGAGGTACCACAAAGTACAGGTCAGAGAAAACATAGAATAGTTAATTTTTTAAATCAAACCGGCAGAGATTGTGACCACTTTTGGTTAATGGAGTTTTTGACAATATCTGTCTCTTTGAAAAGCCTCCCGATTTTAAGTCCCGTTTAATGTATCAATAGAAAATAATTTTAAGTCGAGAAGATATTATTATTATATTTGATCAATTATGCAGTCACAATGCTATACTGAAAAATATTCTTAATGAAAAATGTTTAAAAACTTTGCCAGAGTGCCAGGGCTCTGAAATGAGACTCGAACCAATGACATTTCGCAATTCTATCCTATATTTAGAGCAGTCGCCGGCATTCTGAGTGGATTTTTTAAGCATTTTTTTTATTAAGAAAATATTTAGCCAGATGCACAAACATCCATTAGAACTTTCATTAGTTTAAAGCGACAATACCCATTCAAATTTGACATTCATTAGAGCTAGAGGCGTCGTTAAACGTTAATGGACGTTTGTGACATTAATAAGTTAAAACTATGTACCAGTGGAGTAAGACTGTAGGGCATGAAAACGTATTAGTGTAGGACTACATAATAGTGTAAGATTGGAGGCAAGAAAATGTGCCGGTGGAATAGGGCTGGAGTACAAATGTATCAATGTACAACTGGGAGTAAGGAAATGTGCCGGTGAAGTAGAACTAGGACAAGAATCCATTAATGTAGCAACATGGAGCAAGAAAATGTATTGGAATGGGACTCTTGGGCAACATGATGTAACATTAGAATAAGATCATAGGGCAAAAATTTTTATCAGCAGAGTGGGACTGAGGAACAAGAAAATGTTTTGGTGTAAAACTGGAGACAAGAAAATACGTCAGTGGCAGGGTTCATTGTTATCAAGATAATTATTTTTTGTTGATTATCCATAGTTACTGGCAACATTTTTAAAATACAGATAAGCATTGATAAATTGTATAAACTTTTATTTATTTTGTTATAAATTATTTAAAATTATACAAAAAAAAATAAACAACAAAATGAACTGTGAAATTGAATAAAAAGTGAAATGAAAATCAGAGAAACCACATTTGATAGTTGTTTAAATATGATTCCCTTTTAATAACAAATAAAGTTTACGTATCAATATAATTACCATGATCTCTCCGAAACCTGGACTCGGTGGAGTAAAAGTGGGGCAAAAGCACTATGTATGCACTGTAGAACAAGACAATGTATAAGTGTAATAGGAATGTGGGGCAAGGAAACGTGTCTGTCGAGTAGAAGAGTAGGGCGAAAACGTGTGTGGCGTGTGATGTTATACTAACTTGCGGGGCTCCTGATGCGCGCGCGGCGGTACCCCTAGCAGCAGACAGGTGTCGGGCGTGAGGGGGGCGGAGGCAAGTAGGGGCCGCGTGCCCCCCGCCCCCGCCCACACCCACCGAGACAGGACGCCCAGCCACCACGCGCCCCGCACCCACCGACATTCCGCAGTACCCTACGCCACGATTTATTAACATGACACCTGCCCCCTTAGTGTGTAACTCGAGCAACTTCTGAGGACTACCGAGAAATAAATAGTTCACGGAACTAAGGCATATTTTATTTCTCAAAAAAATAAATCTCGTCTGTTTTCGAAATGCTAATCTAATACGATTGTAAAAGAACGGCTCGTAACTCTCCGAATTTTCATTCGAAGACAAATAATAGACCTTCAGTGTGTCAAGTTAATTCTTACGACTCTCGCAAAATGCTAATGCGTTGAACACCCCTGTGGCAATTGATAGCCTTGGGAAATTATGTTTTACCTATTTTTAGAAAAATAACGATTTATGTTTGTATTGAGGTTACGACAGACAAAACAATACGCGAAAAATATTTAGTCTGCAAAAACCAGATGATTTTACAGCATTGGCAAAAGTAGTCATGTCTTATTTATTACTTATCGAAAACAACAAAAACACAAATCTTTCACTACATACGTTAATTGATTAACAAATGAATTATCTGTTTCTTTATTATTATTTTTGTAAATATAATGACACATGGTTTATTTAAATGTCATTCCTACAAATAACAGCTGATAAGTTTATTTTGCCCTTTCCTCTTGTCAACAAAAAGAAGTTCAAAATAAAATCCTTAGTAGTAGGCAAAAAACGTTAGATAATTTGTTTTATTTATTCTTTTAAGTAACGGTTTAGATATGATAATATAAAGTTTATAATATTTCATGTTAAGATACTTAATATGAAAATATTATATTATCTTTGGAATGTATGGGCGATATTATATTTAAGGATATCATATTATAGCATCTTAACCATCTGTTACAAGCTATATTGTGTAAGTAATAAAATAAATGTCTTAAATTGATGAATAAACTTCTTTGTATAAAGAATATTAAAATCAGTCTAAAAGAAATAAACAACACCTACCTCCTGCACTATGAAGTAACTGAACGGTCCGGCAAGATGTAATTTTCTCCCACTGAGAGTATCGTGGGCGATCTTAGCGACAGCTTCCAGAGCGAGTTTGGCCGCCTCTATTCCTAAACGCGTGCTATCATTCACGCCCCCCTCCGTGTCTAACGCAGCCAACGCGTGCTGAAACCCTTCAGCTTTCGGAATACTCTCCTGTAAGGATCAACGTGTGATAAAATGGAACGTCAATAGATGGCGTTGGTATTTTCTTGATTTACAAATCATTACAGTACAAATCGGCGCGGTACAAATCATTGCCATTTTGGATGAATTGTTACGTATATGTTAAGGTGAGATTCTGTGGGTCGCAGCAAAAAGTACGAACCGCAACAGCGATTGCAATTACTTGACGCGTCCTGTAGAGCATCTTTTGCAGTTATATTACGGAATCGGTCTCATACAAATTAATTCTGCGAAGTAATGCTGTCCTCCGTTGCGACACATCCCAACGCCATTTGCTGCTTTCTTCTGCCGTGACCCACAGATTCGCACCTTAAACGTTACCAGGCCCGGATCTAGACAGGGGCAAGAAGGGGTGCCTTGCCCCGGCCGCCAGTGTCAGGGGGGCACCAAAATGTACTTTATAAAATACCTACGGGACGAGGGTAGAGGAAGGGCGCGACACGAAGTTTCTGCCGTGCTTAAAAAAAATAATAGATCAGGGCCTGAACTTTAATTTATTGACTCACATGTTCTATGAGTGCCAGTATGGCGTAGACCATATCATGTGCAGACTGCGGCGGCGCGTGAGGCCTCTGTAGCAGGAAGGCCGCTTGTGACGGCACCGGCAACCGATGACGCGGAGCACATGACTCTAGCGAGCTCAGTACACTGTGACGCAGCTCCACGTCCATAGAGCGGTACGACTGACGCGCCTGCTGCAGGGGAAACCTAACACAGAGAGACACGATGGTAGATAATCTAGCGCGCTCAATACACTGTAAAGCAGCTCCACTTCCATAGAGCGGTACGAATGGCGCACTTGCTGCAGGGATAATCTAACACAGAGAAACACGATGACAGATACTCTAGCACGCTCAGTACACTGTAAAGAAATTCCGAATCTGTGAACTTCTAAAAATTGTAAATTGTCACTACAATTATTTCAAGAATTTGAAGTTACTTTCCAGTAAAATGGCTAGCACAAACAATTTTAAAATAATTATCATCCTTTAGAATATACTGTACAGTTGCCATTTCAGGAAATAAAATAAAAAACAATATTCAATGATGACACAATATGAATGGAAATAATGTGTTAATGATCTGTACTGACCCCATGTCAGCAAGCAACTGTCGAAGCGTGGCGGCTCCCGCGTGAGTGTGTAGCCGCATATGCGGAGCGATCACAGGCGCGTGGCGCAGCGCCGCCTCCAGCGACCACCACCGGTATAGCGGTAACCACGCGTCTTTTTCCAGGACCACGCGACAAGACTGTTACACGGAAACACCTCTGTGTACAGGCGTGTATGTAACTAGCTGGACCTGGCGGGCTCAATACTAGATCCCGATATGATGGATTTTGTTGAAATATGACACATATACACAGGATTATTATCTGGTATCCCGTATATCTTTCTTTGGTCAAACAATATCTTTTTTTACCCAGTCAAGGGATAACAAACAACAAATGAATCAAAGGAATGAGCGAACTGAACTATTTTGAGGTTAATAAAATCAATCAATTTCCAGTTATTATAAATAAGAAAATAATATAAAGAAACAGTTTTTACGGTGTCGTTGTTGGCGTGTTGAGTGCTAGCGACGCGTCGATGCAACGCGTCGGTATCCAGCAGGCACTGAGCAGGAGTACGTGCACACAACGCCACGTGACTAGCGGCTGCCACGCTGCCCGCCCACAACGCCACCCATCCACATCGCGACACCAACCACGACAGCTCTAGCGCCACGCACGCACTCTGACCACCCATAGAACACACATACATGCCATGTTTACATTAAGTGGCTTCAATTTTCTGCACTTAAGACTTCAAAAAGTTTTTGTTTGTGAAAAAAACATGCCATGTTTATATGATGCCTGAGAACCGTTGCAATGCCTGACACAGATCTTACCATACATGAAACAGACATTCCTCACACAAATAACACGGCACAGATAAACAGCTGACGTACACGTAGTAAAACATTTTTACAACATTTAACAACATTTTTAAACTGAGCACTTAATTTTGGCTATTATTGGTTTTTGTATATATTAAGATATTAGAATGGAAACCAGCACAGTGCTTTATGTGTAAAAACTAAATTACGCATAAAACAAGACATATCCAGATGTGTGAATCTTGTAAATATTTAATTGCACCTTTCTTAATTCTTGTTTCTGGTTATTATTTATCATTTCCTTCATTTTTATAGTTAAATTAATATTTGGTGCTTCTACAGTAGAACACTGTACTATACATAAATAGCATTAAAAATTCCAGCCAGGAGATAGGTTAAATTGTTCCTATGAGAAAATACTTAACAAACCCTACTGAGTTTAATACATTACCGGTTTCCCATAGTAAGAAAACTGTGTGTAATTGAACATGAGTGTATGCCGCCGTTCCTCCCACGCTCGATGTTCACGTCTGCGCTCTACTGCTGCCTCCAGTGCTTCCATTCCACTTTCATGTTTCTCCTCCTCCTGAGCAAATTGAAGATATATTCTCTCTCATTAATTAAAATACAGTAAAACCAAAAAACAAGAACTTTACAAAATTATATACAAATTATATTTAAGATTAATTCTTTCTTAAATCAACTAACATATCTTTTACAATAGCACTCACCTCATCTTCATCTTCTCTAAAAATATCATCAAAATTGGGAATGTTTTCTTCAATGTCTTTGTATACTAATCTAACCTAAAATAAAGTTTAAATTAGAAAATTGAAAGGCAATAAAAAAATTTGGTTAAATATTATGATATTTTAACTGCAGTTTTTATTACGGTATTTTATCAAACTAACCTGACCATCACTATATACATTACAAATATCTGTTGGCTTATGAGAGTCTAATACAAAAAACACTACATCCTCTTCAGGCTGAAGTATATCCACAAGATCTATGGTCCCGCCACAATTCACAAGTACAACGTATTTAATTTCTTCGTTGTTCTCTTCATATGCAGTTTTCAACTCTGCTACACCACCAACAGGCACGAGAGTATACGATATGTTATCACATTTAAACAATCCTTGGAGTATTTTACAAGTGCATATTGCGTCTACGTCGTAATGAACAAGAAGTAACACTCGCTGTAAGAAAATGCTACAAATTAATAATTCGTAAACAAAAGAGCGGGTCAATTCTACACTCCGCACAATACTTACGTTTCCTAATAAAACATTATAAAAATCATTCCTGAGATCTTCTATGAACATTTTAGCCTAAATATATAAATTATCATCTAAACATTGTAAAACTAAGTAAAGAAAACACTGAAAAACATCATAAAACGGAAACAAGACGAAAACATCTGCTGCAAATTGTCAAAAGTCAAACATAACTGTCAAAGTCACAGGAATTTCGCGCCAAAACTAGTGTAGCCAGCGAACATTCTTTTTTGGTATTTAAAGGTATTACTAATAATTTTGATGATAATGCAATTTCATCTTTTAATTTATTTTGCTATTTAATCATTACAACCAACGAATAATATATGAAAATTTTTCGGCCAAAACATCGAAGTATAATTTCCTTCCTATCGTTTCTGATATTTCGATGCATAACTATATCAGTTTTGTGAGAATGCTGAATACTGATAGCTTTATTTTACATTCATTAAATATACCTATAGCAATTGAAAAATAAAATCTATTCCAAAATAATGTCGCAATTCGTTTTCTCACAATGAAGCAAGTCTTTCCTTGGGTTTTGGTTTATTAATTTTATCAACTTCCTCGGTCACATTTATCATTTCCAATTTTTTGTTAGCATTTAGTGTTTGTATGCTGGATAGTACTTTATAAATGTCATCAAACCTGCGATAATTATTTTTAATCTATGATACTTTTTAGGTTTAAACCTAATTATTTTGATCCTAATTTCCCTGTTTTCCATAGTACAAAAATACCCAATGAAATTAGATATTTATTTATCCAAATTTCAACTTTAATTTTAAAGTTATTTCTACGAGTAATATACTTATACACTAGCTAACCCGGCGAACTTCGTACCGCCATATTTTATTTCTCTATAGTGGGTCTCGAAGGTTCTAGAGGGAGCTTTGTTTACGCTCAGAGGAGGTCTCGAGAACGAATTAAATACCAAAGCTTTGGACATTTAAACCTGAGATGGCGACTCGATAGAATTTGATGGCGTGATCTTTAAACTTTGATTAAAATTTGGCGTCAAGACTTTAATAATTCTCTAACAAAAATAGTACAAACATTTTTTATTTTTATTAATGGTAATAATATTGTGACATAATAAGCAGTATAATTATAAAAATATCAGTCACTAACCATTAAAATAATACAGTTATGTCGTGAGCATATATAAATATTACGTGAAATAAAGTAATAAAATATATATTCTAAGAAACAGAACACAGTTCCATCTATTGGGTGTATTTGCAACCTAGATGTCGAACGATTTTGAAGAATTTTATCTATGAATCAACGTACACCGCCATCTATGAGAACTTCATAAAACTAAACAGTAAATAAACACTTGCTTAAGAAACAATTAATTAGTACATTTTATTCGTTTACATTCACGACATAAGCGAATAATTAAGATGATAACTATCCTATCCAGTAAGTTAGACCAAAATACGGGTACATGTGAAATTTGATTGAAATCAATTCAGTAGTTTTGGAGTTTATTGGCAACATACATCGTGACACAAAATTTGTATATATATAAGATTTATGATAAGCTCTTTACGTTCGGAAAATGAAAATTTTGTATTTCATGTATAAAACATCATATGTTTACAATACATCGTACATAAATAAGGCATTTAATATTTTCTACGAGCTATTTTGTGTGCTCTACGAATCTTGTTTTCCAAAAATTAAAATTAACAATAAAATTACTAAACCAAAATGGATTTGTAAGGGTTTAAAATTAGTTTGAAAGTGAAAAGACGGCTTTGAATTAAATATTATAAACATAAAACTAATGACAATAAGCAGGCTTATACACGATACTCACGTATGCTCAAAAATTGCATATCAACAGCTCAAAAAATTGTAATAACAAGTATCTTCAGTGCAGTCAGAATGTTTGTAAAGCATCTTAGAAACTTATTAGGCATGAAACAGAACCAGAAATCCCAAAATCTTACAGTACTGGTATAAAGCATAATGGTTATCTCATTCGATGATTCTGGAGCCGGTAACGGAACGAACTTCTTAACATTATACAGTCTTTGAATAACTCAAATTCTTGGCGATATGATGAAATATCAACGAAGGTTCTAAAATTCTGTAAATATGAGTTAACACATATATTAACGTTTTTGATAAATTTATTATTCGAAACCGGGTGCTTCCCTGATGCTCTCAAATTCTCGATTGTTAAACCCATCTATAAAAAAAAAGATAAACAAACAGTGGAGAACTATCGCCCGGTTACATTTATACCTGTAATATCAAAAATATTCGAGAAGGCTATGAAAAAAAGATTAGTGAATTTTTATTCGAAGTTCAACTTAATAACATCAGAACAATATAGCTTTCAGAAAGGAAAATCTACTACTCTTGCGTGTTTTAACTTAATTCAAAATGTTATCTCGTCTCTAGATAAAAAAGAAGGTACTATAGTGCTATTTTGCTATATGTCCAAGGCATTCGATTTTGTATTGCATGATGTATTATTTGAGATTTTGTATTAGTTCATAAATGAAATAATTTATTTTGAGTTGTTTGATATTTTGTAAAAAATATTTCGGAAATGTAAGGGGCCATCCATAAATTACGTCACACGTCAAGGGGGGAGGGAGGGGGTCGACAAAGTGTGACATTGTGTGACAAGGGGGTGGGAGGGTCCTAAATTTCGTGACGTCACATTTCAAAATCTATTATAATCTAAGTGTTAAAACACTAACATTAAACTATTACTTTACAAAAACCTTTTAAAATATGTAACATCACACTAAGAGGGGGGAGTCTTACAAATGTGACCAGCTGTGACTAGGACGGGGGGAGGGGCAAAAAAATCATGAAAATCGTGTGACGTAATTTATGTATGACCCCTAATATTAGGTATAGTTCTAACCTGACTCAACGGTTCTTGGGCTCGATTTTTCAATAATTGGATAGATTGATTATTTTTTAAATCGATGTTGCAAAATAATGTAAGTAATAGCTTGCAATAGCATGCTAAATTTGATCCACATTACAGTTTTTGGTTAAGCTGAAATTTGGCTATTATAGGTATATAACTTGGGCGGCCTACGGTGCAATATTTATATGGAGTGGAGCCAGTGCCGGTTTTAGCACTACTGGCGCCCTGGGTGAAATTTCTTCGGCGCCCTCTAACTGCAACTCAAATTGTCTTTTTTTCGCCGACCCGGCCTACTTACTTGTGATCTTCCCTAAATTTAGGTAGATTGTTAAGTTGGCAGCATTAGAATGGAAAGTAGTGTTCAATCGGTTTAATTCCTCGGGAATCCCCGACTTTCCAACCATACAGAAACAATGTGTTTTTCTATAATCGGGGATTCCCTAGATCTATCTCTTTTAATTTTTGACGAAGAAGAACACAATCAACAATTATCTTCTTGCTCGACATAAGTGGACGCTCTTAAAACAATTATTCGATTATTTTAAAACAAACAAACATAATAATCAAACGTTTAACGCTACGTTACGATGTTCTTGTTCCAACTATATAGTGACATTAATTTTATTTAAAAAGTAGACATATAAATAGCGTATAAGTAGCTGATTCATTTTTGAGGGATCACATCATTAGGTAAGTACAGATTCAATTTTACCCTAACAGGGTGTGACATAATTGTTATCTATAACTTTGTGTAATTGTTGTAACTTTGTGACAGTGAGTTTGCAGTGGGCCACTACTTATTATATAAATCAATTATTTTGCCATTTCAAATAAGTGGACAAGTAGCTGGATCCGCTATATTCGGGACAACAGTATCAAAATCATCTAGTACATGTATTTGTTGTACATCAATAACAGATTTATCCTGAGCAGCATCTGTAATCATAGCACAACTTGCTCCCTTACTTCAGGATTTTTCATCCACAATCTCTTGAGTAGCTATTCCATCTGACTTGCCAGACAGTGGTTCCACTGCCGATGCATTCGTTTGTATTGCAGCATTTTAGCTTCAACTTAACGTTTAAACATGCTCAAACGAAAATTTTTATTAAATGACCGAGCGATAATGCCCGCCAATGTACGTCATATTACCTAATAAAATACATATCTTGGTATTGGTAATCGGTATGTTGTTCTGTTTTATCATAATATAATATTTTTCTTGTTAAGTTTCCTTTCAAATCATGCTGAAAGTGAGGCAACTTGAAAATAAAAAAAAATCCTCAAGGTTCTCGTTCTTTTTTCGCCGACCCAGTAGGCCTTGTTCAATGAGGAAGGGAAGAGGGCGTCTGTGGGAAATGAGGAAGTATTAGAAAAAAAAACATTAGTTCCCGAAATCAAACTAGATGTCGCTACGGTATGTTCTTGATTTCTCCATGACAACCCTTCCAGTTTTCTTTCATGTTTAAAAGTAAATTAGTTTTCAAAACTCAATTAACAACTCATATTCTATTTGTACTTTTTCGTATTTGTATTGATATCTAAGTTTCGAACTTTTCAAATTTCAGTTTTTTAATATATTAGTTAAAATGAACGGAAATTACTATCTTTGTTCCATTCGTTTCCTGCAAAAATCAACTTTTGCTAGAGTCGCCATCTAGGTGGAGGTATTTTTGTAGTGCTTTCGTTTTTTTAAAATACTTCCTCATTATACAGAATCAGAAAGAAGCGCCGGACGAAAAAGGGGCGCCGCGGCCTGCGGCGCCCCTTTTTGCCAGCGCCCCTGGGCGGTCGCCCAACCGCGCCCTACCCTAACGCCGCTACTGAGTGGAGCAGATCTATCTAATCATATATTAATAATAATATAATATATTATAAGGATCTAATAATATATTAATAATAAATATATAAATTTATGCATTTGTGTTAAAGAATAAAAAAAAACTTATTTAAGTAAATTATATTTTCATAAAATAAATTATATAATATTTGACCTTTTCTTGCAATCAATAATAGTCTTAATTTATAAATCTATTGAATGTAATCGTGTTCTCGATATTATAAACTTATATTATATTAATCTAAGATTATAAGTAAATTAACTTACATTGTTATGTATTAATAGTATGTTTATTTCTTAACAATGTTTGAACAAAAGGTCTAATAAATTAAAACTACTTATCTAGGCTGTCAAACCTGGAAGTACACCGATAAAGTGAGAAACAAACTTGTAACTTGTCAGAGAGGCATAGAACGCAGCATGTTAAACATAAAAAAACTCCAGAAGATCAGACACACAAAAATACGACAAACAACGAA